ATGAAAGCCTGATGCCTTCTTGAGTTATTTGTGCTATTCTGCTATACCAAGGGTGAACAGACTTGGAAGAGCCACATCCAGTAAATGTCGGGTGTTTGAGAGCCGCAAGCGGGTGCCCATGGGCAGTGAACAGCACAGAGGGTACCTGCAGGCAGTGGCTGAGGGTGACGAGCCATGAACCGTAGAATAAACTCAAAGGGCCACATGCGGCTCTTGAGCCTCAGTTTGACCACCCCAAGCTATACCGTTGTCCCGCTTAGAGGTTATGCAGCAGGAAAGCAGGAAAGAGAGCACTTCACATGCACTGCTTGGATGTTAATTCTGCAAGGAAAGCAAAAGCAGATGCAGTAGATCAACAGTGGAAGGTGGCCTCGCGTAGAAAAGCTCCCTGTCCAGCCCTGCTTCGGGAAATTTTTCAAAGCAAGTTTTCACGGGATCCAGGAGCACACGCTTTGCTGTGGCTGCAGGCAGCTTGGGCACATGAAGCCTGGTGAAGCAAAAAATCTGTTTTAATTTGGAACATGCATTTGATCATGCTCACTTAAAGTGTTGGAACCAAACATGCTTGGTTTATTGCCAGAGATGGACTGATGCTGACTGGTGTTGCTCTGCATCCTGAAGGTTCCCGCCTCAATCCCGGGCTTTTCAAGGTAAAAACGCTTCTCTTTGGCATTTCCAAAAACTACTCTCACTGCAGAATCTATACTGTAGACAGCACTGAGTTCTCTAGACCACTTGGCTTGCCCTAAGACAACTGCCTGTAGGCCTAAGTCTTAATACTTTTTTTAAAATGTAGGTTTGCAGGCATGAATCACCAGCTTTAACATTCTGTCATAAATCAAGAAGGTAATTTTTTTGGACAGAATGTCATAAATAATCTTGAAATGTAGATAGTTTAAAGATTTCTCACACACACATAAATATAATGAATGGGTAGAACAGTCCTAAGACCAGCAAGGAACAGAGTGGCAGATCTCCTAATGTAAACCAAGTGCAGGTCAGGCCAAAAGCAGGAGGGGACATTTGCAGTGAGGCTTTTAGCCTAGTCACAAGAGTTATTTATTTATTTGAAGTTTTTCTATACCACCATTCATTAAAAATCTCGTGGTGGTTTACAAAAAAATATAAAAACAATTAATTCAAACAAACAATTAAAAACTCCTTAGTACCAGTACTTGTTGCTAAAGCAATTAAAATACCATTTGACAATTTAAAAACTGAGTAAATAATGTTTGGGCCTGGTGCAAGAACAAATAAAGTGTCGATGCCAGGCACACCTCTCGGGTGAGTCAATTCCACAATCAGGGTGCTATAGCAGAGAAGGCCCTTTTGCTTCTAACAGTTCTCCTCACCTCTTTCAAGGAGAGCACTTGGAGAAGGATCTCCACAGAAGAACTTAAGGTTCAGGCAGGCTCTTATGGAAGGAAGCATTCCCTTCGAGTTAGGGTGGTCATGCCTCCTCTTTTAAATAGGAATGCTTTTTATTATAGAGGGACCTCTTTGAAAGCCTGGCCTTTCCAATTCTGGCTTAAAGATTCCACCAACAGGTAGTCCCCAGACAGCATATTGGGTGGGCAGGCGTGCAAATCATCTGGTCATAGTTTCCCACCCTACTGAAAGAAAAACTATTGTATTTCTCTATTTTTATTATTTCTAAGTTTGAATCTATACCACACTAGAGAGTCAGTATTGTGTAGTGGTTAAAACATTGAACTGGGACTCAGGGGAGCTGGGTTTTAATGCCTCCTTAGCCATGACGTTCACAGGGTAACTCTGAGCCAGTCACTGAGTCTCAGTGGCATTATGTAAACTGCCCTGGGTTCCTTGTAAGAGGGGAAAATGGCATATAAATGTAATAATAAGAATATATATGTAACCTATACATTACCTTATGCAATTATAAGCAAATTATGATATTTTGCCCTCTGTCTGGAGGATGCACTTCCTCATTTTTGGCAACTCTGTCTTAGAGATGAAAACTTAATTTTACCTTAGCAGTCACATTTCTATCACGTTCTTTCTTATAAACAGAGGTTCTTCCCCTAGCTCCCTAAAAGGGCAGCTGTCTTCCCGAGGTGTTAATGATTAAGAGAGTGACTCTGCAAAGTTTTGTTTTCCCTGCAGGAATATACTCACTTTGGCAAGACTTCTATGCTGTTGCAGGGTATTTTGCATTCATTACATTCTCACTAACCCACTATTTTAATCCCTCCTTGCAAATGTTTGCTTTGCCCGACTGGCTCCAAGTTTCCCTTTCACATGATCTTTGATGATGATAAGTTCCTTCTATTGCTTGCAAATAAACTTGGAGTCGAGGGGGAATAGCTGTCAGAGCAAAGCAGCCTTGGGCCTGTGTGAATTAAATCTTCAACTCTGATATGGAACTGGTCTCGCAAAACAGCTGCTTAACCTGGAATATGATGCACACTTTTTTGGGAATAGGACATGTTGAGTGGGATTTGCTTCTGAGCAGACATATATAGGATTGTAACATTAATGTTCCATGCCGTTTTGGAAAGGGAGTAAGCTATTTGATGCTCAGCTACCTATTATGGGAATATCATGTCTCTGTTTAATGATCTATCAATCTGTCTGCGATTGTAATGCCTACATCTATCGGTCTACCTCAGATTTTAACTGCAGATAACCTGATCACTTTTTCTAGAGTAATTCCATGGAGGTCAGTGAGATTACTTTGGACTACAAGGATTCAGGAACAGTGTCAACCAAATACTAGACCCAGTCCTGAGTTCAGATTCAACATGTCATTAGCTTACTAAGTCATCTTTAGCAGGTCATTCTCTGACTCTTGTTTTTTAATCTGTAAAATGAGGTAATAGCAAAGTACCTCATAGTTTTGTTGAGAAGATCAATGAGAAAGGGAACTACTGCTGATAATCAGCCTTCAAGACAAGGCAGATACTTACAAAGAAATCCAGTTATCCGAGGGAAGGAAACTTAAAAACAGATGTGAACTTTGTCATGGTCTAATTCAGTAGCAAGCTAACTCTAACATAATTTTTTAAAGTATCTTGTTCTACAGAATACTCACCTGGAAAGCAGGTTGTCTCTAGTGCTTACAAGTGAACAGCCTTCACAAAATTAGCTAATGCTGCAAACCCATTGGAAGCAAGTCCCAATGAACAAATGGCATTTACTTTTGAATAAACATACATAAGATCACTCTCTGAATTTCCTCTCAGTCCTAAGTGGTGCCCCCAGTCTATGGTCTCCATGGACCCAGAGGTGGGCCAGTTTATGAGCATAATGCTCCCAATGCTATTTATGTATTTATTCTATTATTAAAGTAATATTCCACTAATCCATAGTCCAGCAGGACACTCCAAGAGGATTACAGGACTTATGCTGGAAAAAGTCCATTGACTTTATTGCAGTTACTTCTGCTTTAGATCTGTGTGTGCAATGTGAAAAGGTTTTGAGCTGCATGGGTCTCCATGCCACACATATAGTTAAAGCACAGTTAGTGAACAGAGGTGCTTTTCATTCATTCATTCATTCATTCAATTTATATCCTGCCTTTTTCCTACAAAGGGCTCAAGGCAGCTTACATCATTCTCCTCCTCCATCTTATCCCCACAACAACAACCCTGTGAGGTAGGTTGGGCTGAGAGTCTGTGACTGGCCCAAAGTCACCCAGTTGGCTCCATGGTTGAGCAGGGACTCGAACCCAGATCCTCTGAGTCCCAGTCCCATGCTCTTAACCACTACACCACACTGGCTCTTTTGCCTACTTCCTGGCTGAGATTCGGTTGTGAAGCTCAGGCTCCAGAGTCTACAGGACACTCCAAATAACCACCAAGAAAATGGCAGAGGGTGAGAACACAGAGAAGCAGAAACAAATTTTAGGCCAGGCCTACAACTCTCAGCTTGCCTTGGACAGCACCTTACTGAAATTTAAAACTGCACATGTCCGAGTTTTGTTTTGGTGGTTTTTTTCCCCCAAATCAGGGCTGAGAAACAGTCTTGCTGTTGTTACTGTTCTACCCCATTGCTAATGCAGACACTGTTATAAAGCATGCTCGGAGGGTGAACGCAAAGGCTAACTGTGTGCTTCACCTATGAAGTATCCACATGAGAGTCTAAAAGTGGAGCCTATAGACCCATCCAGTGCCCTTAAATACCGTATGATGAACAAGAATTTACATGTGAAACCAGGGCTGCTGGGAGCTCAGTCAAGGCAAGCTTAAACATTCTAAGGGTGCAATCCTATGTATGTTGAGTCAGGAAAAAAAGTTCTGCCGATTGCAGCTCTCCTCAGCCAGGGAGTTGTGGGACTATCTAAATATTCATAGCCTTTCACCCCAAGGCATGAAGAAGGGAACTCTTCTTTCACTGTAGCTGCATTCTCAGCTCTCTTGCCAAATCCTCAAAATACTCACTCATTGAGAAATTGCTGGTATTTTCCTAGACCACCAAAAATGACAACCTGATAGATGCACAATGAGAAAACTGATGAAATGAAGGTGGGTTTTGAATTTTTGGGTTTGTTTCAATGGAGAAAAGTGGCCCTTCTTGGAAGGCAAAGAGCTGCCTTAATAGCATGAAAAGTTCCCTATTGTTAGGCAAGTTTGCTCTTCATCAAGAAGGATTGCTACAGAGATTCTGATGGCAACTGACTCCCTGCCTTTTGAAGTACATCTTGAGACAGCTCCTTTTTCTGTCTTGTCAGTCATTGGTTCAGTAGCTCTTTCATCACTGGGTAGCAAACCAATACTGGTTGCTCCCCTTCACTAGCTCACCTTATAAATAACTGAGATGCTGTAACTTCTCTGTACTTGCATCTGATGTAGTAGCTTCTCTGGTCCATGAATGTTTATGCCATAATAAATATAACTCTTTATTTTGCTTCCTTTTCCTGATTTCTGTGTTGGCATAGGGGAAAAAACGGTCTAGCTCTTTTTCTCATTAAGAAAAACCTATATTGCATTGTGTGTGTATGTAGTGGGAAGCTTTTAGGTCAACCAGCGGAATACAAATTCATCATGAAGAGAACCATCTTTATCATCCTTACTATGGCTGGAATATTCAGTGCTATTTTCAACACATCAGCATGGTAGGAATTCAAGCCTCATTACCACCAGCTGTGTTTTATTTATTTATTTTTTCAAGTGATGGCTTTAAAATGCAATGCAGTGTGGGGTTTTATGGATTCTTCTGCTTTTCCTCTAGGTCAGTGAACAACTTTCTGATGACAGGACCCAAGGTAAGTATTCTTCTTCCAGAGTATTGAGAGTTTAAGTAGCTTTCAAAACAGTCTATTTTGATGAGGCATCATGTCCACCGATATGCTAATTGCAATGCATGATTCTCTTTTCAGAATAGAGAAAAGCTGAATATAAATGGCTATTTCAAGGGTGTTTTGGAGTTTTAAGGAGGGAAAATAAAATATCATTTTATCTATTTATTAAAGGCATATTTGACATATTCTACCAGTGTGGCTGCTGGTGCTCAACTTGGAATGGAAGAATGTAAGCACCAATTTAACTGGGAGCACTGGAATTGTCCAGAGAGTACACTTCAGCTCTCCACCCACAACAAACTTAGAAGAGGTAAGTAGATTTAGATATGACCTGTCACTCTGAGTTGCTGAGCAAGCAATTTATGTAGAGGAAATAAGCAAGTGGCACATGTGATCTATGTTCTGGGCTTCATCATGCCAGCAGTTCACCAAACTAAGTTTCTGTTTCCTGTGCCACCATTTGACCCTGGGATATATGAAGAAATTAATAGATGAGCTCTTGAACGTACCAACTATTATTTTATTTCTGCTTGTATAATCTGTCCCTTTGAAAGAGCTCAGGGTAGCACACGAAGTTTTTTCTTCCCTTTCTCCTCACAACAACCCTGTAAGAGAGACTGCAGGCAGTAAGAGAGTGACCAGCCAAAGGTCACTGAATTTATGCACATCATGCTGGCTTTCATTTTTCCCCACCATAGTTCTTCCACAAAAGAGGTTAAAGTAGACATTTCAATATGCTATCCAAAAATGGACATGCTAACACTTCAATATTGGAATATCAGTGGTCAAAGACAGTGGTCATTGTAGCTTTACCAGCCACATAATTAAGCAAGACTTTGTCTTTTTGGGCTAATTGATCATTTGCTAATGTGTATAATATATATTCTGTGATATTCCATTGACAGAGATAGTCAGACCATGTGTTTTGCAGGAAATAAAAACTTATCTAATGCTAAGTGCTACATACCAGCACATAAGTTGAGGAAGATTTATACAGGGGATTCAGTCCAGGATAGAGATTGAAGATGGCTAGAGGTAGGAAATGGATTAAGAGACAAGTCACAAGTATATATATTTGAATGTCCCCACTAGGACTTAGTCTATTCTTAAATTTGCGTGAGAGCCGCAGCAGTCAGACTCACAAATGAACTGCTGGTGTTTTCACCAGGAAAACAGCTTGATCTTGCCCGTGTCCTTCTATATTATAAGGCCATTGGCACAGAACTATACAAAAAGGGGACTGATTGTAAAGGTTTGGGATCTCTGTTAAAAGAGTTTCTCCAAGAAGACTCTTTTAAAAGTTTGATTATGATGATAATTACTACTATTAAAGAAAAAGAAAAATACCCTAATTTGACAGCAGTCCTATACCCACTTACCTGGAAGCAAACATTATTGATCTCTGAGGGATTTACAGTATATCTAATTTGATAACTATAGGATTGTACTATAAAATTATATATATATATATATATATATATATATATATATATATAACTCAAAAAGTTCAGAACAGCTTAACTTACCTATCAAATAATAATCAACAGAAACTAAGAACATATTTGTATAATAATAGAAGGGATTGGAAACATTCAATGTCTGGGTGCTTCTTCTCCCATTCCTTATGACAGCATCATATCAATTTGCATAAACTAAAAATTCAAATTAGTATTTTGTAGTCAGATTCCACCCCCACCCCCCTACACACATATGTTACATTTTTTAACATTGTTATCTTGAGAACGAATTGGCTTCCACAAAGCTGTCTTCTCAGTCATTGCTCTAGTGGAATGTATATGAGGGATTTTGATGTGGAAGAGATTTAGGAGGGATTTGTTGTGTTGTTCTTGATAGTGCATGCTTTTTTCCCCTTCCAGCCACAAGAGAGACTTCTTTTGTTCATGCTATCAGCTCAGCTGGGGTAATGTACACTCTCACCAGGAACTGCAGCATGGGTGACTTTGAGAACTGTGGCTGTGATGCTTCGAGAAATGGACGTGCAGGTGAGCTTGGGGTCTGTTGGTACAACATCTGGTGGAAGAACAGACTCACTCTCTTTGCTAAAAAGCCAAAATAGCACAGCTGGTCCATGAGAAACCCCTCCCCCAACACACACACACATACAAGCACACAATTGGACAATACTTTTATCAGGAGCAACCAAAATTCCACAACACGTGCAAGAACTCTTCAGATCTCTTCACTGGTGTCCACTGTATGTTTGCACCATCTTAGCTAATGCAGAGTTCTGAAGAACTTGAAAGCCTGCACAGTTTTGTGGAAAGTTGACTGGCCATAAAAAAAGTATTTCCTAACAGTAGGCTTTGGCTTTTTACTCCTTTTGAGTTCCTTATAGTATTCACACTTCCATGTTCCAGTGTACATGTTTTGTGCTGTCTGTTCCTGGGTGCCAGTTTGACTTCCCAGCACCACAAGGCCAAATGCAACCTAGTAATCTGACTTTGCTCTTAACCCTCACAGACATTGCAAGTGAAAATTAACACTTAAATGTCCCTTCCCTGCCCTTCTCTCATACATTCTCCTATGCCAGTCCAAATTAGGTGAGGCTTGCTTTCCATGTTTCTTTTGTATGTCTGCCTCAGTTAAATCCCTTGCTGTTCCAAGACAGAGCCCAGGATGAATTGCCAATGATGCAATTATTTCCTCCCCCAGGTGGAAAAGGATGGATTTGGGGAGGCTGCACTGACAATGTGGAATTTGGTGAAAGAATTTCCAAACACTTTGTGGATGCTATGGAGACAGGAAAAGATATCCGAGCTTTAATTAATTTGCACAACAATGAGGCAGGGAGAATGGTAAGTCAAAGACTTATGATCTTGGAAAAATATTTCTTCTGGAGCTGGCAAACCTGCAATGCAATGACATTGTTCCTTCAGGCTGAGCTTTCCTGAATGAGCTGACATCACAGGCAAGGGTTGCTCAGTTTGAATGGTTACCTTATCAGGCCCTAAGGGAGAGTTTGTGATTAGGTAACCAATCTTTATTTTCAGAAATAACGGTGATGCTTAAATAGTCATTTTAAACAGAACAGTGACTCCTAAATTGCTTTAAAACTACTGCCATAACTAATAATTTAAAACAGTTACAATTAGGTTTATTGTGAGTCCATTATACAAAGTAAAGAGATAAGAAAAAGGTATTCAGACATGGAATTTGCTGCAAGGTTCATGTCTAGCAGGCATTCAAGCCACTGGGAATAATGGTTGTCTCTTCTCCATCAGAATCTAGCACAGAGGTCTCCACGCTTTTTGGACCTGTGGGCACATCTGGGCATTTGAGGAACTGCTGTGAGCACTGCCACAAAATGGCTCCCCTAGTGGATGTAGCTAGTCTCATAATTGCTGCCTGGAGTTGGTGGGCAGCAGTGGTGAAGGAGGGTGGAAATCAAGGCAAATCAGGAGTGAGGCTAGAGGTGAGGAGGAAGTAGAAGCAGTCAGATAAAGGGGTGCATGCCTGGGAGAGAAAGAGCCAGGCTCGGCTAGGAATTGGGAGAAAAAAAGAGGAACAGGGCAGTGGAGAGAAATAGAGAGGAAGGGCTTGGAGAGAATCACAGTGGGGGCAAAAGCTGGGAGGGCAAAATCAGGCTGCACGTTAAGCCCCTGGGGGAAAAGCTGCATAAAGGCTGGTAATTTTAAGGTGTGGGTGTTTCTGTGTCATTTTTGGCACCAGTTGCCAGAATCCCCTTCACATTTAAAAAAGGAAAGAGCTATGTTTGGGGTGGCTGTGCTTAGCTCAGTGCTGCAAAGAGCAGTTCCAGGCAAGGCAGGTGCTGCCACCCTTTCCACATCCGTGAAATGCCTCTGGGTCCAGCCAGGGCTGTGGCAGGTGCCACACCTTTACCTAGAGCCTCTTCTGAGTGCAGTTACCCACTGCCACCCACTATCACCTGCTTCTTCCTGGAAGCCTATCTTAGGAGGCCCCGCAGGATGGTCAAGCTAGGTGCAGTGGACAGCACAGGGACCAGGCCAGCCATCACCTTTCCCATGCACTATAGGCAGTCCACTTTATTTCTTTTGCAATCTATTGTGAAAGCCAGTGTGGTGTGGTGGTTAAGAGCATGGGACTGGGACTCAGGCGATCTGGGTTCTAGTCCCCGCTCAGCCACGGAGCCAACTGGGTGACTTTGGGCCGGTCACAGACTCTCAGCCCAGCCTACCTCACAGGGTTGTTGTTGTGGGGATAAGACGGAGGAGGAGGATGTAAGCTGCCTTGAGCCCTTTGTAGGAAAAAGGCAGGATATAAATCGAAAAATAAATAAATAAATAAATAAATAAATATTGTCATCTGTTTTAAAATGCTTTGCCCATTGATCCCCACAGCAGCATTGCCAATATTCCTATTACTCCTGTGTCAGTGAGCGTGACCACAATTCAGACTGGGACCATGAGGTTTAGGGAAGAAATGTTTGATGTTTCCTTCCACCCCCCATTTCACCCTAAATTCCACACGCAGCCCTGGCTATGGTGGTTGAGCGGGGCACGAGAGGAGGCCTCTGCTGAAGTCAGTCGAAGAGGATAAAATTTTAGGAAAAATGAAGGAAAGCTTTAACCCCATCACCTGGCGCTCCGTGGTCTCAATCTGAATCAGGATGGAAGGAAGTAAAATTATTATTGATTAAGAGAATGCTTTGTCTGACCGTTCTTTGAAATAGAATTGTTCTGGGTTGTGATTCTTAACTACCTTTCTGTCACTCACCCAAGGCTGTAAAAACAACCATGAAGAGGACTTGCAAGTGTCATGGAGTATCTGGGAGCTGCAGCCTTGAAACCTGCTGGCTTCAACTGGCAGAATTTCGCGAAGTCGGAAATTACCTGAAGGCCAGGTATGATCAGGCTCAGAAGCTGGAGCTGAACAAGAGTGGAAACAGAGAAGGAAACAGCGCAGAGAGCCGTGGGCCCGCATCCCAGCCCTTCAGCACTGTGCCAACCACTGAACTTATCTTCCTAGAGGACTCTCCCAACTACTGCATCCGAAACCTCAGCTTGGGCCTGCATGGTACGGAAGGCCGGGAGTGCCTGCAGAGCAGCCAGAATGTGACTCAGCGGCAGAAGCCAAACTGTAAGCGGCTCTGTGGGGAGTGTGGGCTGAAAACTGAGCAGAAACAGACGACGGTCGTCACGAGCTGCAACTGCAAGTTCCAGTGGTGTTGCACGGTGAAATGCGAACAGTGCAAACAGGTGGTCACCAAGCACTATTGTTCCAAGCGAGAGAGATCTTTTAACAATACCAGGCGGCGGAACAGGGGACATGGGAGATAAATGAGTAACTCCTCTCTAACCACTACCTATGACTGTCTTCCAACAGACTGATGCAGAGGGCTGTCTTAGTAACTTCTTAGGCTGGGAACTCATCACTGCATTTTAAGCATTCTATTCTTCCAGACCAGCTTGGAGCATTCAGCAAGTTTGATATATGTACGTGGATCATGTTTACTTAACACCTTCTGTGAAAAGCTTCCTTTTTTAGCATTGCTTCATGCAAAAGTTTGAGACCAAATTCCAAAGTTGTTGAAACTACATTTGTAAAAACTAAATTTCTCGGTTTGCCAGAGCTGGGGTCACAAAGTCAGTGTTCCCTATCTATCCGCAGTTGGGAGCACCTTTTTGCCTCATGTATGCCTGTGATCTCATGGAGAATTAGTAGTGTGATCTGAGTTTTACATGGATGTAGCTATTCCAGTCCTTGTGGCAGATAGAAAAAGAATGCCTGCTGTATTAGCAATGCTGACTGTTTTGTCAGGTTCACATTAATATTGCCTCCTGTGATTGCCATTTCACAGCCACTTGACCATAGGGAAATCTGAAAGTGTGAACTGCTGCTTAGTTACTTTTTCAGCCACTGCATGAAGGCATGAGGGAGAGCAGGGGCAGCTTGTGTGTTTCCAGATGTTTGGATCTACAACTCCCATAGCCCATGACGAGTCATGCTCTAAACCAAAATATCTGGAGAGCTACAAGTTGCCCATCTCCGTAAGATCTGATGCAATACAAACTCAATAGACAGCTGGCTTTCCAACATACTTGATTTTTCAACAAACTAGTTCCATGCTGCATTTTATTTGTTCAGACAATTCATTTCCTTTAAAATCATACCGCTCAAATGCAACCAAATGATGGGAAAATAGACGTTGTTGGAATGATCCTTGTATTTGCCACTTTCATTGTGAAATATAATAACTCTTTTTTAACTGAAGAGTTTAGAGTCAGGACTCTAATCCTTAGTGAGAAGTAAAAACATACCTGGACTGTACCACTTCATAATGCTACAAGTTGTTGTGGGACGAGCAGAAATGATTTCTTCTCCAAATTACACACCCACACACATGCACACAACTCATTCCATATAGAAAACTAGATATCTTAGGAAAAATGTCCCAGTTTAGCCTTTTCTCAAAGGGCTAGCTTTCTGTATGCTTGACAGGTTTTTACATGGAGGAGCATTCAGTCATCTGAGATCTTGCCTGAAGCGGTACAGCCCAGGCACAGTTTGCCTAGTTCATAGTTTCCTGCAGGGTTGTTTTGTTTTTTGCATTATGGGGTAACTTTGAGCAATCCTCTATGCTTCACATGCAATGTATTTTAAAGCCACAATTCTATGTACCAACCCAGTGTCCTCCAAGTGTTTTGGACCACAACTCCCATTAGCCTCAGCCATCATGGCTAGTAGTCATTATTGATGGAAACTGTAGTCTAAAATGTACAGAGGGCCTCAGGGTTGCCTACCCCTTCTACTCCACTTACCTGAAAATGAATATAACTGGTAACATACTGAATTCAGTATGTTTTGCTTCTGGGTAGGTATGCAAAGGATTGCACTGCAATTGTACTTTCCCCCAAATTATTTGTCAGCAGATAACCAGTCAACATTAATTTGTTGATTAGAATGTAGCAGTGCTTTTTATTGTGTGATGTCTAAAATTGTAATAAATTGTAAATGTATTTTAATAAATTAAACTATTAAGAATTTAGTGCTTTTGTTGCTGATTGATCTGTACTGTTTGGAAGTGTTTATTATAAGACAAGCAAAGCTGAGGTTTATTTTGGATAACATTTGGAAATAAACTTCCTGAAAGACAGTGGATATTTTTTAAATTGTTAAAGAGGAAAAACCTTTTGTGTTTGCACCCTGTGAGTATGTATGTATAATTATGTTACCTTTTTTAAAGAAAAGGAAAAAGAATTGCTATGGGTCTGATCAATAGACTAGAAGATAAGCTAGGCACTGACTTCAGTAGTCTCTTTTTCCTGCCTACATAAACTGAGGAAAATACTAGGTTGCAAACATTGGTCTTGTAAAGTAAATTTCCCTTGTAACTTTAATTTGTCTATTGTCTAATGTTCTTCAAACAATGCAAGCTCACATTGTGTTTGATGTGGTAAATATCTGGGCTTGTTGCAAAATTCTTTATTCTAAGGAACAAGATTAATGCTTTGAACTAGAGAGTATGAGCGAAAACTTAGAGGCAGTTGTGAATGTGTCTGCGGGCTCCCTGCTGTTTTCTCCTATAAACACCCTGATGACTTGCATTCCTGGGAGGACAACAGGAGCCAAAAGGAGCCACTGGCTACAGCCACACCGGTTTCTTGCTTAAATGTGTATTCCAAATCTTATCCTACCTGGATTTGTTGTTCTGCTGCCTTAACAGACTAATGATGCCAACAAAGGATTTGGTTATTTTTCCACCAGGATTTATTAGCCATTCCATTCACCATGTTAGATATTTGATAGATGATGTGTGACAGGAAACAATCAGCTAGAGTAACTTGACAAGTACTCAAATTCTCCTTTTCCTGAAGGGATCCTTCAGGATCCTTCAGGATCCTGTGTTAGAAGTGGTACAAGAACCAATGGGGGACATTGGTTACTGGTCCCAGGATGTCCCAAATGTGTAAAATGTCCATCAAATGCAAGGTTACTACCTGGCTCATCTCTCAGCTGGATGTTTTTTTCTGTCTCCTGCATGGCTTTCCATTCCCCAGCCCCTTACATTACCTGCAGTAATAGTCAGTGGGTAACTGTTAAATATGCAAGCATTCAAAGTGGCCAGATTCACCCCAACTTCACCAGATTAGCAACACATGGCAGCTAGTTTTGAGCTGAATTGGAATAATAGGAACAAATCAAACGGAAAAATGCCTTACCATGCAGCTTTTTATTTAGTAAGGGCAATTTTAAAGGAAGCCATGGGTCTAGGAAGTTCCTCCCATGGGTAGGATACATGTCATCGCAGCGTCCCACAGTGTACAGATCACATGCCAGTGGCACCTGCTACCATAAGCCACAGGTACAGTTGTGGTCCACTTGCCTATTTCTCCTCTTCATCGGTGTTATCTACTATGGAGCACTTTTCTTCTGACACCACCCCCTTGCCCCTGCAACCCACTGCTTTACAGCGGGAGCCCTTTGGTCCCAGCCCTGCATATCACAGGCACAGGAGGACAAAGGCAAGTGGACAACATAAATCACTGAAGTGAAACCAGAAAACAAAAGCTGTTGCTCTTCAGAACCCAACTGGATGACCCTATTTCCTCGGTATATTTTTAAATTAAGAATGAAACAACCTTCCAAAAGCCACAAAGCTACCTTGATCCTTGTTCTTCTCTCGTATTTGGCAATGACTAGTGCAAGCCACATCGTGTTGCCATTGTCCCTGGCTTGTATTGCACCAACAGCCCAGCTCATGCATGGTACTTTATGAGAAGTCTAAAATATTGTGTCCTCTACTCATAAATCTCCATTAAGCCAGAGCAGTTGCACAACGCCGTTCAGTCCGTAGAACTAGGAACACAGCTGGAGGGTTGCGACTGCAGTCATGTCCTCCTGGTGGGGTCACCACTGGCACCTGCTTGGCCAGCGCATGGACTGAATGTCGGACTAGGCAGACCCTCTTTTTACCTTCTCTGTTTGGAAGCTCCCGTGTCTCTCTCTCAGCACTACAGCCAGTCAATTAACTTTGTGAGATAAGGGGCACACAACATTTGCAGTATGATAATGACATTGTCGCAGTTTAATTATGCTAGATGTTACCATGGAGAAGGTAAAATAAAAAAGAGGGATTAGCTCCATTAGCTTCAACTTTTTGCTACATCTAATTCTACCCCAAGAAAGTGCAATATAACCTAATCACAGGGAGAGTTTGTGACCTGAGTGTTACCCAGTTCATCTATTCAGCTACATCACTTGAGTAAGCTGCTGCACCCTATCTCAGAAAGCTGTTGAGAGGCAAAAACACTGTCCACTGCACATAAACATAAGGCCCTTAAGGTATCTCTGAACAGAATATAAATACTGCCAATCTTTGTACTGTCATATTCTGTTTATGAGATATATTGTTCCAATATATTATTACCCCAAAAACCAACTCATCACATAAGAAATCACAGGAAGAGAGAAAGTTCTAACTCTGTCACTGGGGCACTAGGTTTCTTTAGAGACTAGCAAAGCCTGTCGTAGTTGTTGCTACATGCCATCAAGCCATCTACCATTTAGGGCATGGGCCCTCAAACTAAGGCCTGAGGGCTGGATCTGGCCCGCCGTGCCCAATTAACCGCCTCGCCCCAGAGGTTTTACCTTTCCGTATGCGCACGCGGGCACGCAGCTTGCTCACAAGGTTTTGACTTGCTTGGAGAAAACAATCTCCTTGACAGTAAGCCGGCGCCTCACCCTGCGCACCACCCGCCGTCCCCACCTCGCCTCGCGTCCACACGTGTGCACGCATGCCCCAGTCCCTCACTGCCCCCCCCCCAGCGGCACCGTCTTGGCAGCCCGTGCACACCGCTGGCACCTGTCAACTGGCCCCCTGTTGAAAAAGTTTGAGGACCCCTGATTTAAGGTGACCCTATGGATGAACGCTTTCTGAAATGTCCTGTCCTTGATGGTCCTGCCCAGGTCTTGTAAACTCAAGCAAAGTCTGATTTAATTGTAATAGTTCTGCCAAGCACTGTCATATACGCAAGATTGGTGGGCTGAAACTACACTTGACAAGATTTTAGGAAGAGTGATTATAATAATAATCTGCTAATAAACAAAAAAAATAACCTGAATAGATATCCGTATACTACCAGTAAATAGTTAAGTTATGCCTGTAAGGGTGTAATCCTACACACATTAAACAGGAAAAAAAAGGCCTGCAATTCCCAGTGTGCCCCAGCCAGAATGGGATGCTCGGAGTTGTAGGCTTTTCCCCCCTGTCGAAACATGCATAGAAATACATCCTAAAGAAAAAACGTCTCTATCCTTCAGGTTCTGTTTTTGTTTT